GTCTATAATCTGAGAGAAAAACATCCTCCTCTTATTCCATATTTTTCATTCTATTGTTGCAGAAGTAATTCTCCAGCCACACTCACACTTGGGGCTTGTGTTTCCAGCTGACACTCCCCTAAAAATATTTTCTTTTCACTTTGTAATCCCTAAATTAATCTCTTCAGGATTTTCCTCTGCAGTATATTTAATCAGTTTTGTTTTTGCTAATTCTAGCTTGCTAGCAGTGGAAATTGCCTATTACCAAAAGTAGCTTGCCTTGATCTGCTAACTGTCCAGCTGTCTTGGGTGTTTATTTTCAAGCTAGTTCTGTATATCCCAGAAACATAACTGTTTTTCTTTTTTATAGAAACGTACAAAAAGAAGATCGGGTTCCAATGCTTGATGAATACAGGGAGTACAAGAAAATCAAGGCCAAGCTTAGGCTTTTAGAAGTCCTTATCAGCAAGCAAGATTCTTCAAAATCAATATAGATTATGTTCCTTCAAAGCATTGAATTAACATGTTTCCTTCTGATACCATAATATTTATTGGGTGCTTGTGTTCATTTTGTCATGTACTGTTGAAAGAACCCAGTTTGTGCACTTTTGCTGTGGTGCCACTATAAAATGTTTGAAGGGTAAGTGGGTGCTTGTAGAGGGCAAATAAAAAGTTCTAAATGTAAGAGACTGCTCTATCCAACTTTAGCAAACACGGTTTCCATCAGCGTTTTATTACAGATGCAGCTTGTTCCAAGAAGACTTACAGAATTTTGTTCTTTAAGCATTCAAGAACTTTTGAGACTTTTTTGTTACTACCAATCTCTTTTGCATTATTGAAGAAGTTAAGATGTCTCTATCTTAATACTGCGACTTCTGTTGCCTTTTTTTATTACGGGAAAACTAAACACACGACTCTTCCTGGACACCAAAACTGAACAGAATTCCTTTCAAAGGACTGGTGTGGAACGACTCCTTTTGATTTCTGATGTCCTAAATTACACCTGCACTCAGTAATAATATGTATTAGGATCCATGGATTTTGCTACTTAGTGGTCACCTCTCCTTGACAAAGATGACAATGGACAAACCAGAAAGTGACCTTGCTTTAGTGTCTTTTTCGAATTTGGGGAAACAACAGTTATATCACACGCTGCCTACAGGACTTGTGTTACTGTTCCTTTTATCAGTTGTTATCAGTTAGTGGTGACATAGTGTTTTGTCAGAATTGGATACTGCATCTCCCCTTCAGAGGATTCGAGAAACCTAATAAACTTTTCAGTCTGTGGGAAATCAGATGGTGCTCAGACTTGTACAGCTCCAGCAGGTTAGGCCTGGCCGATGTCAGTTAATAATTGCTCTGTATCTGATACAAGTGCGTATATCAAGGGCTGAAGTCACTGTAGCCATTGTATACCTTGTGGTGGACGGGGTCGGCCTTGGAACGGGAATCGCAGCTGTGTCAGTTCTGTCACGCAGCTGGGGAACGAGTAGAAATGGTTTTACCTTTGTGATGGGGCGATTTTAGTTGAAGGGCCTTGCATGATTCAGCTTTGGAATTGAAACTAAAACAGTGTTTTGATCACATGCTGGTTTAGCTGGCTTGCGCTATACAATACAACAGCCACCAACAACTCTTTTTTTGATCTGGCAAAAATCTAAGTGTTAATTTTTAACTGGTGCTTTTTGGATTTTTCAGTGTATCAATTTGCTTGTGGCCATGTTTTGCATGCAAATGCTCTCACTGCATGTTTTTATGACTGGCTAATGTCAACACGGATATTATTCACTCCGCTTAACGGAAGACCAAAACTGAACTTTCTCATAAAGTGGCTGGCATGTAAACCTCAGACTTCCTGTTCTGTTATGTAAGCCTGTGGAATAGGTTAAAAGTAGGATTTTTAGTGCTCCAGATTTCATCTCTATGCTATAAAAGACTTTTTTTTTTTTTTTTTAACTCTGCTTATAAGCAAGTAATCGTTGGATTTTGGAGGAAAGCACTAAATCTATTGAGCACTGGCAGTTTGCTGCCTTATACAGCAGAAGGACTTTTAGTGGACCCTAGAGAATTGTGAGGTTAAGCTAATCTTGAGACCATTAATCAATTTTATTCAGCTCCATTGTGCAATGTACACTTCAGTTACTTTACTTTTTCTATCAGTCTTCAAACACGGGTGTATCCAAACATCGAAACTAATGTGTACTGTATAGTGTTGTACATGAATGTTTGTGTTTTATATACCACATGCAAAATGTCAATATGCACTATTTAAATGTTTTAAATAATATATTCCTCCTTTATAATGCTTAAATCTATATGATTCCAATATTTTTATAAGTGAGTGAGTGATCCGACTGGTTCCAATTCAGAATTAACAGCTGCTTTGTGTTTGTTATGCAGTGTTTGGCTGTTTATTCAGTGTCGTAGATAAGCATGGCGGCAGTTATGCTACAAGTGTGTTTTGTGCCATCCTTGTTGAGCAATAAATAAATGGTAGAACTAGGCATTTTGTGATATAACAGTTTTACTTTGGTACAAGTAAAAACGATATCTATATGGTTATATAGATATATAAATATATATAACTAAACCAGATAGAACTGCATTGCTATGTCTGGCATTCATTGTATAGACTTTTATAATAAAAGTACCTTAACCTTTACTGGCATACTCTGGTATAGGAGTTTCCTTTCGTGCTTTTTTTTTTTTTTAAAACAAAGTCCTGTTTAAAAAAAAAATAATAATAAGTTGGGGGGGGTTGATGTCTCATTTAGTACTTAACCCAGAGTAGTCTAACGTTTAGGATTAGGCTAAAAGGAAAAATGTTTTAAAAAAAAAAAAAAAAAGTCCTAAGAACATCACCTGCTTTTGAGATCAGAAATAATATTCACTTGCACTACAACTGACCTCTGTTTTCATGGCCAGCGAACGCAGCCACTTTTGGAAGCACAAGAATAGCTGTTTTGTTTTGTTTTTTTCCTCCTGAAAATCTGTTTTCAAACGGCATCTGTTGGTGTGTGGGTTCACTGCAGGTGATCTTTGCCTGGTCTTGTAAGGCGGCTGTTCTGTTGCATTTTGTTGTATGGGGATATTGATCTCCTCTGGATTTTGAGTACCACATTTGCTCCTCTTTCTGTAACCGTACAAATCCAGTTCTGCATCCTGAGGCTTAATAAAATAGATCCACTACTGCCCTGGTTTCCTACTTAAGCTTTTGAAATCAATGACGCCTAATAACTTAAACTTCCTAAGTGTACGTGGAAGCATTTTGAAAAAGCATTTATCTCTGTGGATAGGAAACCTTCCTCGACTAGAAATAAAATCTAGCACTTCATGTATGAGAAACCCAAACTGATGGGCTCAAGGAGAAACAGATTGTTCCTCAGCTGCTGGTAAACACCTTAAACTAGAATTGCGCTGTCGGACATGTACTCGAGACAGGCTTGACTTTGAGAGGACCCCATCTCGTGTACGCTGCTTTTCATGGGGCTCTGCGAGGCTTTAGGAGGATGGTGAATGAACTGAACCTCAGGACCTCTGCAGATACTTGTGGTTACTGCCTTTTTAAAAAAGGGCTTTGCCAAAACTGAGATGACAGCTGGTGACTTCTGAAGCTGCAACAATCTAAGTGATAGACAGTGTGAGGAAGAGCAGGCTGATGCTAGATATTAACACTGACTAACTTGATTCATGTGGAATAGTCCCTGGAGCCTCTGAATGCAAAGGGAAGCTGCCAAGTGGCACCCCCGTGCCCCTCCACAGCTATCTGGGTACCTGAGGGGAAGGAGATCCCTTCAGCAAAGATCTTCATTTTCTAGTTGGTTCAAAAGCGTTCGAGCCACAGGCCTGTCCTAAGTCGGCCTTTGTAGATGGAAGAGGGTTTCCCCTAGCAATGACCAAAACGCTCTCCGATTGTTTCCAGGAGGACCTGATGGGCAAAGCTGGGCGAAGGTCAAGGGGGCTTTAAGGGAGGCTGTGGGAAAGTGGCTGAGGTTGATGTGGAGGAGAGAGCTGGAAACAGGCTAACCCATGTGCAGGGGATTGGGGCTGGGGGAGCAGGTGTGAAGTGAAAGAAAAGGACTTGGTGAATGTGGGGCAGCAGCCTAGAAAAGCAAGCAGGAGGGGCAGCTGCTTATCCTGGCTCACTAGTTGCTTTGCGGTTGAATGTGAAACCCAAGGTTGTCATGTTTTCTAGCTCCAAAGTGAAGAAAACCCCACGGGCATGGACAATGTTGACTTGAGCAGCAGGAGCGTGCGTGGGGCTGGGGGAGAGGAGCTGCTCCTTTGGATTCCCACTCGGTTCTCGCAGAGCCCTGTCTCGGTCTCCGGCGTTACTTGCTCTGGTGATGGGAAGTCTGAGCAATAGTGAAAAAACAGCACTTGGAAAATGCTGAGAGGTGCTGCACATCCAGCTGCTCTGGAAGAAGATCTTTCCCAGTGCAAACAGCCCTGCAAAGTCAAGTCCCAACCTAAATAATGAAGCTGTCTTCATAGCTGGGGAAAGAGACTGATGGGCTGTGTGTTCCCATTGAGGCTAACACCTGGCCCAGTGCAAAACACGCATCTTATTTCCCCTTCTAGCTGTTTAAGGGGCCATGGGGACTTGTCACTTGAGGGTCATGTGACCAGCGGGGCCTGCTGGGAGAACGGGGCCAGGCTATAAAAAGAGCTTCCTGTTACTCAGACCAGTGGCAGGAGAGTTTGAGCTGGGAAGGGTTGAAGGCCTGCAAGAAAGAACAGCTGCAATGGAGCTGGGGGTGCTGAATAGCCCCAGATGATTGCAGCACTGACCCAAGAGGCGTGCATCGCCAGCTCCTGCTGCACAACCCAGAGCTGGGGGAAGTGGAGCCTGGCTGCGACCTGACACGAGAGAAGTGCTCTATTGTGGATTCCTTCCACAGAAGCATCCACGATTTAGCTGGGCCCATTTCTGCAGTGGGCGAGGCAGTTCTTTAGCAATGAGGTGCTGCTGTGGATGGTTGTTACCTGCTGCGTATCAACATCCTGACCACACCTCATGCCAGGTGAAAATCAGAAGTACTGGTCAATCCCATGAAATTAGTTCCAAATGGCAGAGGTAAGAGTGCATGAGCACAGCATAACAACGTGTTTGCACTGGAACAGCCAGTCTTGATGGGGAGGGCAATTGGCTTGTGGCTTTTGACAGTTGGAAGTGGTGATAAAGTCAGGCAAAGCAGGGAAAGGGAGGGGAAAATGCATCTTTCTGTTGCATCTGCATTGGGTCAAGCCTGCTTCTGGCACTCCTGAGGTTCTTCATGCAGTGGGAGTTGAGAGCTGCCAGCTGTGTATCTTGCTGAGGGTCCTGAGACAGCTGCACCCTGTCACAGCTCATTGATCCCAATGAAGTTCGTGCACAGGAATGACCAAGGTTGTATCGTTGCTGCTGATCATTTTGAGCTGCAGCATTGCAGTGATTTGGGGCAGTCGCTTTCCAGGTGCACCCAGCGTGTTGTGGGAGAAGCTTGAGTATTCAGTCCTCTGTGTTTCTGGCTCTAGAAGTAGAGAGCCGGAGGCTGCCAGATGGGCAGCAGGGACCGGGAGAGGGACTTGGTCACCAAGCAGTTACAGTTCTCAGAACCGCTGTATGAACCCTGGTTTGTGTAGCCTTCCTGCTGGCCTCACTTAATAGCCAGCAGTGTTGGGTCAGTGTGAAAAACCACCTGATTTTGAGCCCAGCTATATCCATCCTACAAGCTAATGGTGCTGAGACTGCTAACTTCAAGCAGGAAGTAGGTGGGAAGATGGAAAGGGCCTCTGACTTGGGAAAAAGGGTGTTTTCACTGTCTGGTATCTGTGTGCCATATCAAGGTATGAGGACTATGATGAAATCGGGGCTGACACCAGTATTGGAGAGGGGGTTTGCTTCAAAGATGTGCCGTGCAGAATGATGACACCACGTTTTTTGCGGTAGCATTGTGTGTTGGCTTTAAAACTCTTGGAACTAGTTTTCTGAGCAGCATGACAATACTTGGGCAATGGTCAGGAGATGAGAGGCTGCAAAATAATACAGCAGTTATTTTTTTAATGCTAGCTGGTAACAGGCTTTCCTCTTCCCAAATCTCCCTTTGAACAAAGGTAGGTGGTTGGATGCGTTGGCAGTCATCACAAGCAGTCTGTAGCCAGGAGGCTGTTCTGGACCTAATTTAAATATTTAAGTAGGAACTGTTATACTAGATTGTCCTGGTGGTCCTGTCCCATAACTGGTAATAGATGTACTTAATAAGCAGCCTCTTCTTGCCTAGACCGCCAAAGACAAGTGAAAAAGCTAGCACGGTATTGATTTAAAGCCATGTCTCTTTAATACAGAGCTGTGGTCCACCTCGCTTAGAGTGGCTCTTGGGAGATCTCCAATTAAAACATCCCTTCTTCCTCACCCCCCAACCCAGGAGCACGTGTATAGGTGCCCCAACACCTTACTGGTGTCCTTTTGCTGCTCCCAAAAAGGATCCCCCTGGAACTGAAATCGCTGTAATTGGTGCCACCACTGGGCCCTAGTCTGGGCGTGCAGCTACCATCATTCCAGCAGCCAGCACCACAGGCATGTTTCATCATTAAAGGCTGCAGACACCAGAGTCTGGATGTGGATTGTGTTGATGGGAACTGAAGTCAAGGAGATGAGGGATTATATGAGAACTTTGGAAATGGAGGTGTCCTGGCCTTAGTTTACAGGGGGAAAAAAAGCTTGGAAATGTGGCCCTACTAACCCCTGGAATCTCAGCAGAAAGGCAAAATAGTTTGACCAACATGGTAAGATCTTTGGGTCCAGTGAGCTGACTTGCGATCCCTGTAACGCGGCTCTCCAGACAACCTGTAGAGACCCAGAGAAGAGCTGAGGGTACGGAAGGGGCATGCAGCCGACATGGAATAGGAGAGCAGGAATTGTGTGGCTTGGTAAAAACTCTTCCACTGTCAGCTGGGGGAGAGTGACTGAGGAGGGAACATGCATTTCCTTATCTAGTATTAGCATTGTGTGGGGCACTGAAAAGTAGATATGACAAAGCACCAGGACTGTAACGGGGCCTGGATTAGATCTTCTCCACAGGGTTTTCACATCACCTAGGGCCAAAGCAGGTGTTGTGGTGTACAGAAAGCACGAGGGATGTGCTCTCTTCAGGAGGGACCCTCTCGTGAGGACACTGCAGCAGACCAGCCTGCAAATTGCAAGTGGCATTGAGTACCTGGCGCAATTCACCTTCAAACTGAACCCTATTAGCCCTTCACAATTCTCCCCTGCAGGTGTCCAAATGCCCTAGATGTAGATCCTGGATACAAATGCTGCACCTAGCCAGGATCCAGTGCACAGAATAAGGCTGCTGTTTAAGCAGGCAAAAACATCAGTTGTGTTGTTGTTCCAGGACCAAGGCTGGTTACCAGCCTCTCCCATCTGCCCCGCAGCTGGGCTCTTCCAGAGCCAGCTGTGAAGGAAAGCAAGTTCTTGGTCTGTGTAAGAAGCTCTGGGCAGCAAACTCCTCTTGGCTTCTTGCCTCATCTGTTTCTCTCCTAGATGCCCCCACGACCAGCTAGTGGTGAGCGAGCTGGATCTGTGTGGTGTTAAACAAAACTTTGCCCTCCCTGTTGGGTAGCTTGGGTAAGCTTTACAGGGAGGGCCACTTAGCAAAGACAGCATGGATCTAAAGAAAGCTAATGCTTGCAGCATCCTCTATGCCTCATTGCTGGTCCCTTCAGATTGGGCTTGCAGAGCACAGCAGGCAGGAACCGTGTGCTGCCCATGTTGAATGGGTGCATGAAGGCCTTTGGTTCTCAGGCCAGTTGTACCAGCCCTTCTCCTGAGCCTCGTACATTAAAAATAACCCCCCTCGATGCATGCCTGGATGAGCTGCTCTCTTTAAATTGCTATACGCTGCTTTAAAGTGAAAGACGCTGGCTTCCCCCAGCGGCTTGTTGCAGAACACAGCTTGGAACAGACACTTCTCTGGTCACTTTTAAGGTAAATTGGAGTTTTGCCAGGACATCCATAACCTGCTCTGGGCGCTGAAATAAGGCTCACTAAGAAACATCGCTAGATGGTTCGGTCTCTGTCACCAGGCAACAGTTGTCATGAGAAGGGAACCCAGAAACTGGTGCCAGGAAGGATGGATGGTGGAGCTGTGCTGGAGAAGTTTCTGCATCCATTAAGAGAGTCTGCATTCCTGTGTCATCTACAAGGGGCCAGAGGTACAATGCGGACCAGGCTAATCCTGCACAATGGGCCGCTAGGAATGAATTCAGTCTGCTGGATACAACAATAAGGCTTCACACAGGCTCAGCCTGCAGCCTGGGGAAAGATGACTTCCCTGGATCCACTGATTGACGTAACTCTGGTGTGTGTGTGTGCATGTGGTGGGGGAAGGGGAAGAGGAGGATGGATTTACTCAAAGCCCTGAGGTGCAGATTAAATAAAAAAAACAAAACAAAACAAAACCCAGTAATTGCTTCCCACTGAAAAGTCTGTGTTTTAAGATGCATGTTCCTGGCTTCTGTCCAGAAATGCAAGGCATATAGGATTGTGACTCTCCTCTTGTTGACTTGGAGTGTCAGTGGATGGGGAAATAGTCCCTTTGGTGCATCCACCTACCTTCATCTCTTGTTCCTTGCTAGTTCAGCTTCCTGTCTGAGTGTTTTGGCTCAGGCGTGGATTTCGTAATTTGACTCAGCTTTGCATTAACCTCATCCAGTTGCTTCTCCAGATCCATCACTTTTTTTGCAAGTCTGGAACACAATGACAGTGATAACAGCAAACCGCCCCAAAGCAGATGGGCGCTGTCTGGCCTGTACAGCCCTGACTTGTAAGGGTCACTATCGTTGTTATTCTCACTCAATTATTTCATAGCAGGAAGCATCTACCACGACATCCTGCTCCCTGACTGCCTGCTGTTCCGAAGAACTCAGGCCTGGGCAACTATTCAGAGATTGCTCTAGCAGCTTAAATTTGTATCCAGACTTACTGTTGAATAACTTCACTTTGCACATTTGCATACTCAAACGTCAGCACCTTCTTGCTGCTGCTATACACTAGCATTTATGGCTAATGGTCCCCTTCTTGAAAGTGCTGTGTTTTGCCCTCATCCATCATGTTTGCTACCATGCAGGTTTTCTGGGCCTCTCTGGCTTTCTGAGGGCAACAAGGGGTTTGTGACTGGCTGTCACCTTTCCACCTCTTGTCCTTGAGTAACTGGCATCAGGGTGGATTTGATTTAAATCAAATTGATTTAAATCACTGGTAAGGAAGCCTCAATTTAATCACGGTTTTCTGTTTTGATATCCTTTACTCATTTAACTTCTTGAAACTCTGCACTTAAAGAGAGGTAAGGGCTTGACTGTGTGTACACAAACTTGCAGAGACAAGAGGGCTGATGGGGGTGGGGTAATCATCAGGTCTGTCTCTCATCTCCATATACTGCTATTAACAAGGATGTTATCACTGGAGAGACATACACAGCTTGAGAACTGAAACTAAGCATCCCAGTGATGCTTAATTGGAGTCTGAGCACTGAGTCCCACTGGGTTAGAGTGGTTTTCTTTAATCTTTACTAATCTGTAGAGGAGCCTTGGGGAACCCCACGAGATTGGGCCCCTAATATAATCCATGTCCTGTTGTGACCTATTTATAAGACTTTTCTAAAATGGTTACATGAATATATTGTCTCAAATACTATATTTATTTAGAAATTATAATCCCTATTCCATGATGATATCTTTGAGCTTTAACATGTTTTAAATTAAAACTATATATAGGTTTGTCTGGTTTTTTTTTAAAAAAAAATCATAAAAATAAAAAACACAAATTTTAAATCTGTTTTGTGTGTGGGGTTTGTTTTTTGTTTTTTAAGCTGTTGATTTTTTTTTTTTTAATCTACTCTGACTGGAATGATTCAATGCAAAAGCCTTGGCAATTAAAATAATATAACCAGTATTGCATTAGCCACTTGCTCCTTGGTTAATTTGTAAGACCTTGCCTCAATCCCTGGAGCAGTTTTCTGGTGGTAACAGGTTGAGGTACCTCAGCTGAGTTCCCCCTGGTGATCAAGTATTACTATGGAAAGGGTACCCAGACAGGAAGCTAGCTAGGCTGTCGGTGCAGTAGACCCACAAGGACAGATAGGGCAGCTCTTTGGTCCAGCCATGACAAACACTTACTGCTGAAAATCCTGAGGGGAGATGTAGCTCTGAGATGGGGTGGGCATCTTGTCCTCAGAAGAGCGATACTTATGGTCAAGCTTTTTCTTCCACTTCCGTAGCTGTGGTGAGCTCAGATAATCCTGCTCAACACAAGGCACAAAGGGCACAATTTCCAGAGGAAAAGACTGGGAAGATGTAGTTGTGAGAGAACTGTCCCTGACTTTTTTGACCACCTACCTCCTATTTTAAAGAGCATCTAGCCTCCGTTTCCTTCAAAAGTGTGTTGTGTGCAGGCGGGGGGGCTGAATATAAATGTTCCTGTTCCAAGATGGAAGAAGCCCAAAAAGAACTCCACCTGGGGAAGGAGGTGGTGATTTCCCTTCAAACTCGTACAGTCCTCCCTACTTTGCAATAGCAAACACAATTCTTGTGGGGTCCTAGTATCTCGAGAAAGAGGCGATGGGTTTATAATGGAGCTGTGGTGTGCCATTGCCTTAGTTAGAGAATCCCCAAGTTTGCTAGGGACACTTTCCTTCCTTTGGTAAGTAAGACCAAACCTGGAGAACCTCCTCCTCCTCCCTGTTTCTAGGATGCCAATGGGGACTGGCATATACTTAGTCTAGTACTTGTACAGCATGTGCTTTTCAGTTTACATGCATTTGTTCAGCAGCTGGGTAAGCAATCTGCTTGTGAGCTGCCAGGGAGTCTACATGGCCTTGCATTTTTGGGGGAGGTATGGTCAGTTCAGACCTGCTGCAGGTTTGCTTTTCTAGTGTTTTGGCCTTACCTGAACAGTGCTAAGCTGAGGGTGAGTTTTCATTAAGAGGCAGAGTGTTTAAATCCAGCTCAAATGGTACCCCCAGGTGTACAAAGTCAGTGTGGTGCATCGAGAGGGTCCAGAGGAGGGCCACTCGCATGATCAAGGGCAGCAGGGCAGGCCCTACGAGGAGAGGCTATGGGACCTGAACCTGTTCAGCCTACACAAAAGGCTGAGAGGGGATCTGGTGGCCACCTACAAACTGGCCAAGGGAGACCTGCAGCCAATGGGAGAGTCCCTGTTCCCCCGAGCACTACCGGGAGTTGCAAGGAATAACAGCCATAAGCTGACTGAGAGTAGGTTCAGGCTAGACATCAGAAGGCACTACTTCAGTCAGGGTGGCTAGAAGCTGGAACTAACTTCCTGGGGAAGTAGTGCTGGCCGCCACCCTGGGGATCTTCCAAAGGAGGCCAGACAATCACCTAGCCTGGGTCGTTTGACCCCAGTATTCTTTTTCCTGCCCATGGCTGGGGGTCGGACTTGATGACCTACTTAGGTCCCTTCCGACCCTATCAACTATGAAACTATCACCCAGTAGTCTGTGCAGCTTTGTGTTGGCCTGCAACCAGGTAAGGGGCAGAAGAGAACAAAGACTACCTTTTCTTCCATGCTGCTTCTTCTGGAAGGCTTGGGACTATCGGGTATCTTGGAGACAGAAGAATGGACCCTGTTCTCATTCATGCAAAATAAAGGAAGGCAAGAATCCCATGAGAATAGGTCTTTGGGGCTCTCTGCAGAGAAACAGCTCTAACTAGCACTGATGGACTGGCAAGGCAGCCCCACTAATCTGGACTGAAGGGTCTGACTTCTTCAAATAGGAACAATGGTTAAGAGACCCTGAAGGACTTTCACAAGTCTTCCCTGTACCAACATGGCCTAGGAAGGCTGCTGTTTTGAACTTGGGTATCCAAAGTCCATAAGACCTTTTTAGATCCATCCCTTAATTCTTAAATGGAAGCTATTGTATTTACTCCAGTATTTTTTATAGTCTCCTCAATTAATTCATGAGATCTAATGTAGTGGTTTTTAACCTTTTTTATTTGTGGGCTCCTAAAAAAAAAAAATTTGAATGGAGGTGCGGACCCTTTTTAATTTATAAGTGTAGGTATTCACATACTTCTGATTGATCATAGTTATCTTTTGTGAACCCCTTAGACACAGTCCATGGACCACAGGTTGAAAACCACTGATCTAATGTTTAATCAGTCTTCCCAAACCAAAGCCCTTCTCTGCATCTTGGGCAGTGTTTTGAAAACTAGACAAATGGCTTAAAATTATTACTGCAAGCTAAGGGGGAGAAGGGAAAAATGCCACAGCTGGGTTCCTACCTTTTTGTGCTCTTTAAACCTCCATCTACTTGATACAGATCATCCATCTCTGACTTCAGCTTCAGTTTGACCAGGGCCTTATTGCAGCTCTGCACACAGGCGCATACACTCATAAATCAAAATGCACCAAGGTAAAGGAGTTAAATATCTAATCACGTTTTGCAGAGATGCTTTCACACAAGCAATGGCATGAAGACCTTGAAATGCTCGACTGTAAGGGACATGTCAGTAGGCTGCACAGGCGATTTAGAAATAAATCCTGTGGGTGTTAATGGAAATGAATTCCCAGTTCCCTTCACTCAGCTCGAAGAATTTACTATTTTAAACGTAAATGCCTTGTGGGATTCTCTCGGATGCGACATGAGTTGAATCAATTAGGCTTTTGTTTCTTTTGCTGGGTTCGTTTTAGTCTGTAGACAGCTCCTAATCGGCAAGCTAGATGCCTATGCAATGCTAATGCAAAAGGTGCTGGGATGTGAACAGCCAAATCTAAAACGAAGGTGTCATGTACTTTTATGGCCAAGGCCCACCAAAACTGAAAATTAAGTCCCTTCTGGGATCAGTTCTCGTCTTAAACTAGTGGCTCAAAACAAAACACCCGAAGGAAATCTGACAGGTTTCCAAAAACGCTGTAGTTGGCTTGCTGGGTTTTTCATTGTAGCCATGGTGGCTGCTGCAGCCAGAGCTGAGTCTGGAGCCCAGCTCCTCATTTCCACCCCCTTCCCTTCTGGGCAGCATGGCTGGGGCAGAGCCCACATGGGGGGTAGAGGATGTGGGCTGCCTGCTGCAGGCTCAAGGCTCCCTGCCATGCTGCCTTATCCCCAGGGCCTCCACAGGCCCAGAAGCCAGTCTGGGAGGAAGAGGAGGCTCTGTGCTGCTGCCAGAAGCCCCACACCAGCCACACTACTATGGTAAGGCACCCCCTGCCCACCTGGCAGCAATGGCAGGGATCACCTTGGCATGGCAGCGCAGTCAGTGTGGGGCTCTGAGCCTCCCCACACTGCTGTGCCATGGAGGTCCTGGGGGAAGAGCAGCAAGGTGGGGAGCCCTAAGCCTTGCAATGGGCAGCCCACATCTGCCTTTGCCTCATGCACAAATCTGAGGGGCATGCCCCCCCCGCATGCCTCCCTCCCCAGGAGTGTGAAACCCCATCTTTTATCTTTGTTACCCCAAATGGGGTCGTGACCCCAAGACGGGGAACTGCTGTGGTATGCCTTGTATCTGCCACCCAAATGCTGAAGAACTATAACAAGAGACTTCCTAGAGAGGGTGGCTTTCCTAGGCTAATACTAATGTTCTCATAGTCCCTTTGGCAGTGATTAAGTGTACATAAGGAGGAAAGCATCTGTCATGTTGGCTAAAAATACAGAAACTAATGCAAATTATTCTGAAATGGTGACTTTTGGAGCAAGCATTTCAGTGGGACCAGGGAATATTCATCTTGAGTGTGATCATTAAAACTCTAGTGTCCTTGGGGCACACACTTGCCTGCCTAATGAGGTCGCTGACATCAAATTCTTGACTCGGTATCACTGAGAAGTCAGCCTTCACTTCAGTGTAGGTGTCATTAATAATAGCCAGAAACATGTTCTGTAGAGGGAAGAAGCGCACAGAGAGTTTCTCGATGGAAATGCCATTTCTGTTACTCGGGGCCTGTTTGATTCTATGCACGGATGTGGCAGAAAAATATCAATTTGTGGGGTAAGGGGAAGGGAGCAAACCTTTGCTTTAAGCAGCACCTCTAACACTTGATCCAAGTAGATGGGTCAGATCTGCAAACTCGGTTTGGAGCCCCCTTTCTCCAGGAGGCAGCTGGTTGTGTACTGCAAAAATCCTATGAGCATAAAGCTTTTCCACATGCGTGAAACTGCTCTGGTTACAGTGGCTCTGTTTATGGACATAAGGAAGATAGGACTGTATGCTTTTAACTAATTAGTGAAAATTGAGGCCTTGTTGAGACCCTGGGTGGAATCAATTTGGTAAATGACTTAAGCTGCTCTTAATAGAGGACAGAAGAGCTGCGCTGACTAAAGCCCATGCCTAACTGCATCCTAGCTTTAAGAAAATCTGAAGTTGTTTGCTTTAGGGCCTGGGGGAGGAAGTTCTGGGGAAGATGGACACTGCCTATTTCCTGCCTACAGTGTTGGTAGAAGGTGCTTTCTTCCCTGTGGAATACCTGAAGCCTCCCTCGGAGGTACTAACCCTAGCAGGTGAGGCCTGCCAGTGGTCACAAACTGCCTCCAGTGCTTGCTCCTAACTTGGACAGTTTAGGAAATCTGAAATGGGCAGTCTTTAATGATCCCCAGTCAAGGGTTTCAAATACAATCAGAGTGGGTGGGAAGCAAAAACCCTGGAGCTGCCCCTGTATACAGGTCAAACCAGCCTGTTAAAACACCTTGAGAGTCTCTCTTGGTTCTTCATAAGGGAACACAGGGAGAACAAAGAATGCACCCTCTCTTCTTCCTCCTCCAGGTCTCTCCTCTCCTTCCTGACTTGCTTACAGTTGTTTCTCTGCTTAGCATGGCAGGGCTGGGCACTGAAGCCACCCTCAAATGTAGCTGCTGAATTTTGGGAAGCTTAGAGGTACAGTTATACCCATCTGCATGCTGAGACCCCTTCCCTTCCTTGCTGGGCCAGATTCTGCTGACTTTCATGCTCATGTGAACCACATGCTAAACCCAAGGTGCAGCAAGGTAACAAAGGAAAGGATGCTGGAAGTGGGACACCCTCAATGGGGCCTTCTTAGTCTCTCTATGTCTTCACTATTGTGATGGGTTGTTGATGGAGAGTGGTTGGCTTGCCAAAGTACACCTGCATGCAGTTAACTTGAGTAACTGGCCCCTGGGAAAGCCTTGCCTAAGGACAAGAATCCATACTACAAAGCCTAACATGAGGTACTGGGTCAGAGCTGGTGCTGCATTCCTTCATGTGTCACTAGGACTTCTGGGGACACCTCCCCTGGTATTTTGTGCTGCCACAAGCTGATCTGCCTAGTGATTCTTTTCCTTGTGACCTGTCTGTCCTTCTGTGTGCATGGTGAGGGAGAGGAATTGTGGGAACGCATCAGTGGACTGTTGGTAGTGGGTCTCTGCTTTGTTATAAAATGAGAGGGCTGGGGATGGTAATCTACCTGGGTGTAACTCCCCCTCCTGGCTTAGGCTCAAAGCACAGGTTAACTTGGGAGAGATGCTATACATGTGTATTTGGGAGGGGAGTTGGGGACAACCTGAGTAAGAGCCCAATGTAATCCTAAAGCAGAGGCATGCCCCCAAGATGCTTGTGCAGACCCTAGCCATGACAACCCTTTTGAGTGACTTGGCTGGCTGTGGTGTGCCCAGACTTCCCCGTGTGCAAGAAAATGCATTTGAGCACAAAGGGCTTGATATCATTCAATGCCACTTACCAGCAACACAAAGAACACGAAGAACACAAATGTGATGAAGTAAATGGGTCCAAGGATTCGGTTGGCTTCCTCTATGACTGCGAAGTTAAAATCTCCCAGCACAATGCGGAACTGTGTAAAACTTGGAGGTAGAAACAGGAATGTGGTGACTGTGAGCCCTCGTTTCTAAGCAAACTTCTTTATAAGTGTTATTTCTAGGCACCTGTCTCAATTAATTATAAAAGAGGTATTTAGTCACAGCAATTAATGGAATTATACCAGCATAAAACTGCCATGGTAAATCAGACCTTTAAAGAATGTGCATGCCTTTGAAAAGATAAAGGACTTGTTTTTAGACCAGACGATAATGTAAGTGCTGATAAGCTACTTCACAACTCCTAGAAGACGTGAAACTTTCCCACATATAAAATAAGTCTTGAGTGCAGAGAGGATAACTGTTTAGTGCAGTGTTGTGGTATTATCCTAGTAAGCTCAAATTCCCTGTTTTTGACCCAACTTTGTATAAAAATTTGTATAGTACTGCAAGAACGTTCCACCTTAAAAATATTTATCAGTGTATCTTAGGTCTACATATTTTTCTTTGCATGTAGAAGCCTATCTGCAATGATATTCTACACTGAAAAAATTTGTTGAGGCTGGCCAGCTAGCCCTGAGCATATACATGTACTTGCTATAAAATCTATAACCAAGAGAGCCAGTACAGTGGAGAGCTAGTTACCAGGATCCTGCCTGCTGTAGTGACTACTTAGGAGGTTCTTGGTGATAAATGCCCATTGGGTTTAATGAACCTTGGCCTAGGACTTGGTGACTGACCTTATGTGTGTGTATGGAGTCCCCAGTGAGGCAGCAGGTCTGTGCATGCATGCCAACATGCATCATTCCTGCTCTCAGTGAGGGCGGGGGTAGGATGGACTTCAGATCATACTTCAGTGGGAATTTAACATTGATTTGGCTAGTGTGTTAGTCCTTCTGTGGAGCCCAGAGGCATCCCATTCAACCCCAGGTTTGGCCTGATGCTGCAGCAGCAAGATCAGAGGTTGCTTTGTAGGAGAAAGCAGATGCAGCTGTGCATGGGATTATGGGGCTCTGAATTTTGCAGCACCCGTGTTGCCTGAAGAAAGCTATAATTACTGTGGTAGCATAAGAAATAAGGGCCTGTGCTTTTTAAATTCTGTGTAGGTGGCACTGCTTGGCTCTACAGTAAACAGGGTGTGTGCATTGTCAAGTTTTGAGCAGCATACATGCAGTTCTGAAATGTGGAAAACTCATCAACTTGAGACCCAAAGATCAAGTAGCCCAACTGTGCATAGGCAAAGAATATGATGAAAAACATGATAGCAAAGCCGATGATGTCTTTGGCACAGCGGGACAATGTGGAGGACAGCTGGGTCATGGTCTTGTTGAAGCTTATGAACTTGAATATCTGGAAGAGAACAAAATAAGTTACTGTGGGAGGAGACCAAAATATACTGCATGTTCTTACTGGAGTATATGGAAGGTCATCTGTTAGCAGGAATTTGCAGATTAAATGTTTGAAATGAGTTTTGTCATAGCAGCAGCAGGAATCTTCCTCTGGTGCTAGAGGAAATGTGTTTGGTGGGGAGAGAGGGGTGATCTAGGGGCAAGAGGCCCAGTATGTTTGTTCAATACATCTTTTCCCCCTTATCTTTAAATGAGCCAAGGAAGTACAAGGACTGGGAATTTGCCCGGCCTGTGTTCATGGGGGTGGTATCTGAAATAGCCAGATGGTCTTATCTTTCTGGAACGAGCAAAACTATCCTTTTTAGCCCAGCTATCCTGTTCCCTCTTGAAAGTGTAAGATTGACAGTGTGATTTAGGGGTCCTGGGACTGCCAAGCACAACACAGGAAACTGGGAGCCAGTACCTTTATCCATGCAAAGAAGACGTTGATAGCAATCATGTTATTGTAGTGGGTTTGCCAGTAGGCAAGGAAATAGAAGTCTGGGTACACGTATGCATCAGACAGAAGATCGTCCATCAGGAGAGACACCTCTACTGTACGGTATATGTTGAAGGCAATGGCAAAAATAGAGAGCTAAATAAAAGCAAAGACTAATCAGACCACAGTCCAGATGTCCTCAGATCTGTTGTCATGCCCATTGGCAGAAACATTATCATAAAACTCTGCAGTTTGACAAGGATAATCCAGAACAATGAAGGGAAAAATTAAGTGAGAACAAGAATGGTACAAGCACAGAAGGAGAGTTGAGAAGCTGACAGGTTCAGGGAAATGGCACATGGACAGGGAAATGGATAGCTCCATTGTATCATCTGCTGCTCTTGACTCCATAAAAACCCAACTCCAGATACCCAAGCCTCAATCCATGTTGGCTGACAGGGCTACAGTCTACAAATCCACGATAGCAAGTGGGGGGCACTAAGTTAGTGTTCCTCCTCAGTCTCCTGTAACAAGCTATCTCCTCAATGTAGGGTTTGAATGATAGGTTGCTGTGGAGGACGTATCAGAATGATTCTTACTTGGAGCTCTGGTCTGGAGTCAGGCCGCAAATGCTAGTGAGCATTGCATGAGCTAACTTCTTTGTCTGTCCTGTGATCTGTTGGGTGTATAACACCCTGTATGCACTCCTTGTGGAGTTTTTTCTCTCTGTGTCCTGGGGAAACTGGCACGAGGGGCCAGTGTGACCCCATGCAGTGATTCACTCTTTGATTTCAAAACAAACAAATGTATGCTTGTAGGTTAAGGGCATCCAGATTTACCCTCTGTGATAACAACACACCAGAATTCATTTTCAAAGTCTGCTAATGGGAAGACTCTCATTTACTTCAGTGGGCTCTAGTTTAGAATGGACCCCATGTATTTGTATAATGGGTTGACTAGAAATAACGGCCACAAGCTGGCAGAGGGTAGATTCAGACTAGACATCAGGAGGTGCTACTTCACTGTCAGGGCGGCTAGGATCTGGAACCAACTTCCAAGCGAAGTGGTGCTGGCTCCTACCCTGGGGGTCTTTAAGAGGAGGCTGGATGTACATCTTGCTGGGGTCGTTTGACCCCAGTACTCTTTCCTGCCATGGCAGGGGGTCAGACTTGATCTGCTCAGGTCCCTTCTGACCCTACCAACTATGAAACTATCATCAGTTTGTTATGATGTTGGATTTATTTTCAATTATTTTTATAATGGTGGCCCTGAGAAGTCGGGTTGTGCCAGACACTATACAAACATATAGTGACTGTTCTACCACCTGAAGTGCTGGCCACTGGATCAAACAAGACTATGACAATCCCAAGGCAACTGCCAGCAATGCACCTCAAATTACAATGGCCCTCTGTGCTGATCTGACAGCTTCTGGAGAAGATCCTAATCATGCAGGAAAACACCACCACCAGGCAGTACTCACCGCCACCAGCAGCAGGTCCAGCCAGTTCCAGGCGCTTTTAAAATATTCCACTCCTATTCTTCTCATTTGCACAAGTTCTTGGATGATGAAACCAAAAATGAAGAGGCAGAAGACAGCTTCACAGGAGGCAAGAAAGTAATCGGTAGATGAGACATATCTGAGGAGCTTTACAGAGTAGAACTGAGAGGATGAAACGGCACCGCCAGTGGCAGGGAACTCCACTACCAATCTGTGGAAGGATTTGTAGGGGAACACATTTGTGGCTGGCTTTTGCTGGAATCCTTGCCCTTTTCCTTTTTTCAAAACGTACTAATATTTCACTGAACCAAAATGTTCATGTGAAAATGGAAACCTTAATGACTCCTGTAACGGTTAATTTTCCCTTGGCCAAGAAGAAACTGATGGGAAAGGACAGCCATGGACAGAATAAGGAAACTATATAATAACCCAAATGGGTGTTTTCAAATTTAAAATATTTTGCATTAGTCTTTAAAAAAAACAGTGTGAGCAGATCAGACAGTCTGCCAAGTTCTGAGTTCAGGGTTCTGTGTTTCTCCTTGAGTAGCCAATAAGACTAATGTCTTGGGCTCTGACTGCAGAAAAGGTAATATAGTTCATTTCTGCCTAGTAAGAGTAGCTAGTTGTACAGCCAGACATATCCCACTTTGTAAGGGGGGGAAGTATTTGTACCTGCTCCCTGAAGGTGTCATTGTAGTTTAAAGAACCAGCCATCTGGCCAGCTATCATATGAGAACTATGTGCAGGATGTGAAAAGCCCTTTTCTGCATCTTTAAAGGAGCACAGTGCCCCAGAAAATGTGCTTTCCAGTGGAGTCTATGTAAGTGCTCACCTGGCTACACAGAAGAGGTTTATGTTGGCATTGTACACTGAGAAGTCAATGAACACGACCCTGGTCCCTCTGGTGAGCCAGTTGTTCTCCTTGAGAAACGCCAGCTTCTCTATGCTCTCCTCCTTTGACTTTGGTAAAGTGAACAGAAATCCACCAGCACTGTACATGCCCATGGACCCCCAGTGCCATGGTGCTAAGGAGGAGGCAACTGAGTACACCCATCTGGAGACAGGGAAACAGAGCAGTTTTGCTCATGAGACACTGGGCTAAAAGATGCACAATGTTCCTTTCTCGTTCCTGTGCCCCACGAAATCACTACTGCATTTTGGACTGTAATCCATAGCCTTAAATTATCCTTTTCTCACTAGGAAGAGTGCAATGCATATGCAGCCTTAGAAAGGTTGCACACAAGTCATCTGGACAGTCAATGTACTCTGCAAAGACCACTATTACTTATGAGCCTGGATCTTGCACACACACTATAGATGAATTATAAGTTTAACCCTCTTTTATAGCTACATGGGACAGCCCCTTGTTTTACATGTAGTTTATTACTGTTGCAGTAATCTAGTTTATATGCTCTTTATCGATATCATGGTGTGATAATGTTAGGTTTGTGGTAACAACTGGAGCTCTGAGAAGTCTGTGTTATCTGTCTGAATGACACTTTTAATATGAGACTTCTTCAGAGATACTTGGTTCAAATTCAGGCCTTGTATATCTGTATTTCTCCAGTGATGTCAGTGAAGAAGTTAATTTATACTAGTAATGAATTTGGTCCATAATTCTTATTTTTGGCTGGGGAGGAGGGGCAGGGAGAAAGGGTTCTTTCGTGCCATTCATGTGCCAAACCAAATCAGTGGGGTTACATCAAGGTAGCTGAGAGAAGAATTTGGCCTGCATGTGTATAAGTGAATATTCTTATCCACTCCAAAAGAAGTTCTAGATCCTCAACTATTGAGGTCTTCTGTGTCATAAAATAACTGAAAAATGCTTAAGCAACCTAGGAGAACTTTTACAATCTCTGCTCTCTCCTATGCCTGATGAAGTGTGTGTGTGCATGAAAGCTTGCAGATAAATACAATAATTTGTTTGCAAATATCTAGTTGGTCTAATAAAAGATATCACCTCTACCATGAGGTATGATTCCTTTTGCCTCTAGACCAATACAGCTACAACCTGGATACTTAACGTAACTTCTGTTTTTTTTGTTGTTTTTTTTTTTAATCAGTGGGATCTTGGCCCCCTACTTCCCCAATGTATTGAAAGTCGTGGCAGCTTGAAAATTCCTCTTTAATCATCTTTATAAATCTATATTCATACTAAACAGGCAGAGAGACCACAGTGAAATATTGCAATACTTACTCAGGCTTGTTCCTTGGACCAAAATCAGATTTGTCTTCAGCAGCAAAGCGGTATTTGTAATAACACTCTTTTAAAAAAGTAGTGAAAAGGGGATGGATGGAGCATGTATTGTTCCGGACTTTTAACTGGCGGACCCGGGCTACTCCTAAAAGCAAGTTCTCATAGTAAATGTGGCTGCCGTTCTTAGGGTCGGGTATTGTCTTGTTGTTGTACCATGTGTCCCAATACAGACCATCCAGGAGGGGACCTTCTGCAAACTACACACACAGTGAGATTAGACATTTAAAGGAAGTTGAAACGATCACTTCTAGCGTTAGCCTTTTCAGATTCACATCTGCTCTCTAGTACTCCAAGAAGGTTTTAAAAACTAGAAGTTCCAGCTTATGGTGAAAGGAAAGCCCCATTACCTAGAAATTACGTTTGCATCTTTGTGAGTTCAGTGTTTATCCCCTCCATACTTCAACTCCTCATGCCATTTGGGGTTTCACTGAACCTGTTATTTAGCATTATTGAATTTAGGCAACATAGTGGCCATAGTGATCACTTGGCTATTCGGGATGGAATCTTACAGGTCTGCTATGTACTTTTGTTTTTTTTTTCCTGCTTATAAAACTTTAGCCATACACTTTGGACTAAAAATGATTCCTTGTTTTGAAGGTGGGAAACAATTACCTCGCCCTCCATCCCTTTAAGTGCAATGTAACTGCAGGTGAAAGAATGAAGCAGATTTGGGGGGAGCATATCAGAGCCAATAATTATACAGTTAACGTGGCTCAGCAGTTGAACTTGCTCTGTCTGGGCCATGCGAAGATTTTTGTATCAGTGCTCACCCGCTCACTGGAATAGCTCGCTGTTTTGCAGATCTGACTGTAATGAACAAGAGGGAGGCTGGGGCACCCAAACCTCTCTCTAAGCCAGGTCCCACTGCTTTTAAATCTCCCCTAGGAGAAGAAGTTGTAGCACTGAGAACCTTGTCTTCTAGGCTTGCCTACACACAATGGCAAGCCTGGCTGAGGCCCCCATCTAGCGGTCAGAATATGCACGAGCATCCTGCATCCAGCTTTGCTGCAAAGAGGTTCAGAGGTGAACTACAGTGGAAGTGAAAAGGCAGCAGCAGGAATCACGTCAGCTCTATCCCAGGGAAGCTGCTTTTTGGCAAGTGAAAAATCAAGAAAAGTGGGCACTTTTCTCCTCTTATTATCCCAATCCTGGACAAGGAGCACTAAAGAGCATTGATGCAATTGTTTCATGTACACTAAGATGAAAACATCCACTACTCGCTCTGGTCAGCCTAAACTTGTACTTGGATCTTTTGCAAATGTAAAGATGATATTCAGTTGCCTCTGTCTGAGGTGCTGTCCTGGGAACTACACCAAGATGCCTCCATACTCTGCAGGTAAAATATTCCACATTGCTAATATTTGCAGAGCTACACAATCGCACCAGAGGCTTTGCCTGACTGGTGTATTCCCAACACAACTGTTACAGTTGCAACCTTACCTTCCAGAAATCTGTTATGCTGCCTATGCTGTCAAAATTAGCCTCATCTGTCTCGGACACAGGAGTCTCCAGAAAGAGATCGGACATGACTTTGTTCAAGTAATACATGTCAGTGTTCACCATTCCGAACGTCACTAAAAGGAAGGAAAGACAGGAGGGCTTGACTGTAAATCGGAGAGGTGAAGGTAGTAGCAGCTTCTAGCATGTTGCTTTTCTTCATTATTCCAGAAAAGTCGTTCTGGCCAATTTTGTAGGTGGCTGGGAGGTTTATTTATCAGAGCTTCAGCCTTACTGATTTGAAAGAGGGGCAGCCCACTCTGGGAGACTTGACTTAACTTCTCCTGGGTTACTGGAAAACATTTTACCTAGTTCTTTTGTGGACTTACATATACACAGATCAGCAAGGAAGATGATGTAGATAAGTAGCTCCTGAAGGGTTGTTTTCAGTTCCAGCTCTTTGCTGTAGGTCAGCCGTGGTTTCACAAAACCTAATAATGTGAAATGATAAAAGCAAAGCGTAAAAGAAACTGTAGGGAAAGAGCCAGATGCAAGGGGTACTTACTCATTCTGGGGGAACCATAACTGGGTTCCCAATCTGCAGGGGAAAAAAACCTGAGGATACTTCATTATACACTGGTCAAAGATTAGTTAATAAAGGGTAGAACTTAGTGCCACAGGAGGTTGCAGAGGCTGATAGTTTAACCAGATCCAGAATGGGTTTGGACAAATTCTTGGGGGTAAGGGGCATTGGTAGCTATTGAGCATGGGAGTTAGGGGTATGTCCTCTGAACCAGAGCTTCCTAGACCCTAAATGCTGGAGGCTGCAAGTGAGAGAGGAATAGGAGGGAAAACCCCGGTCATGCTCTGTTCCCTTTTCCATTCAGGTCTGCCGTAATTGCGTCTCCCGAAGCGGGAAGTGTGATTGGGCTCCCACGTCAGATCGCATTGTGCCTTTAACATCTGTCAGGGGATTAAGTTCTTGTAAACTGCCCTGAGCCTTTTGGGGGAGGGTGGGATACAATATAAGAAGTAAACCTGTACCTGTTGTAAGGAAGTAACTAGAGACTCTCACTTGTTTTGAACCAACTTCAGTAAATCCCACCCTCCCTTTGAGATGTGTGTGCATGTTTCCCGAGTTGCTTCCTTGTCTGCAAAAGGGAAGCTTGCTGTGCCTGCAACTTGCTTGTGTCTATCCCACCTGTCTGCAAAAGGGAAGCTTGCTGTGCCACCTGAAAGCTTGCCTGTTGCAGATGGGCAGGATAGACACAGGCCAGCTTGCAGGTGTTGCAGTAAGCTTCACTTTTTTGCAGACAGGTGCGATGGACAAAGTGAGGGTTACTGTGACACTTGCAAGCTCGCCTGTGTCCATCCCCACATACAATAAAAGGTAACTGCTGCTGTGAGACCTGGATTGACTCACAGTCCAAACTTGCCTGTCAGTTAAATCCCAAACCAATTCAACACCAGACTGCAAGCTCGCTGGTGTCTATCCCACGGGTCTGCAAAAGTGGAGCATGCTGTGACCCCTGCAAGCTTGCCTGTGTCTGTCCCACCTGTCCATGCCAGCTTTCCTGTGTAGGTGGGTGGGACAGAGTCCGGTCCGTCACAGGCCTCACAATAGCCTTCACTTTTCTGCCCAAACCTTGGCGTGGAAAGGCGACGGCCACGCGATGCCAGATGTCGGTTCGTGGCATCATCCTCATCCCTGACCTGCGGGGAGCACGGCTGCCCCGAGGAAGGGCCCGCTCCTTTATTGATTGATTTGTTTACCCGGCGGGAGAGGCGCTTTGGCCCGCTCCTGCGGGCTCGGCGCGGGCGTGGGCGCCACGAAGCTGGGGGCGTCCCTGGGCCCGCGGCCCGGCT